AATTACTCCATGCATATTTGTTGAATAAATGTTGGATAATTGATGAATAAATAGAAATAAAAAAAGAAAATAATGGAAGATAAAACTTGCTCTATTTTCAATCATGCCAGAAACATTTAATTAGTTATTTTGTATCCATTATTTTGTATGCAGATTGCTCATTTACACATGAGACAATCAATTGGTCAATTGGAGTTAAGGAACAAAGTTTTAAACAGGAATTAAAATTATAATGGGACAGATTAAGATGGGGATAAATTGATTAATTGGAAACTAGCAGAGGTATGAGTGTTCTTTCTTTGAATAGAACAACTGGTGTATCAAAGAAAACAATTTTAATTGTTTATATGTTTCCTGGAAAACCTTGAAAATTTAGATGTGGATTGAATATATCTGTTCCCATGTAATGTCTGGCAGCATCTTCCACAGATTGCCTTACTCAGGCCAGATCTGTTCTATGTTATTCGCCACATTGATAATGCACTGTTGAATTTCTGAATGATATGATCAGAAATTTTAGCTTTAGACTTTCCTGGCTGTCACAAATGCTTTCTTTGGCTTCATTGTAGATTTTTAAAAGTGTCTTATTAATTAACTCCCTTTCAAGGAATGCTGTTCTATAGGTTTGATGACAGTTGGTAAATTGAACTTGACAAGATTAAATAAAAAATTTCACTGCATAGATTCATCATGATATTTTCAATTGCTCATAATGATGGTAGTGATATGGGTAGCTGGAAAGCAATAAACTGTTAGGGGGTCTCTTTGTGAAGACTTTATATTTAAACCTTTCAATGATGTCTTAGAATTTCATGTCTCTGCACAATTTAAACATACATAAAAGAAATTACATGTTTCCTAAGACAAGGGTCCATTAGAGGTATAATCAGAGTGAGATAAAGAAACAAAAATTCTACAGGATCTTGCTGGGGACTCTTTATTAAAATCAGGTGAAATTTTATTGTAGTAAGTATCTGCATCCTACTGGTTATCAGCAAGAAAGGTAAGTGTAATTTAAGTCTAATGTGTCCATAGTAGTGTGTGGGATGAACAGGATCTCAACTACAGTTCCTTTATCCTCTTCTCTTGTTGATTTTGCATACATGTAAGTGCCACAGGAATTTCTTTTTAAGGTACCAATAGGCTGATTCCAGTCTCTTCCCACAATTCTATTTTTACCTTTTCCTAGTTCTACCTAGAACTGTTTAGTCCCTTGAAATATCAGCTGAGGTAAGTATCACAATTTTTCAATACATACAATTTTAAAATAGTAGGTGTTTTTTCAACAGCAGGGTGAGTTTGGATTCTTTTGACATTCTTTGGTATAATAATGTGATTAAAACAAAAAGTGAGACTTTTGATTTTCTTTTTCCTTTTCTCTAAACTACTTCTGGGTTGACATTTAAGATAAAATATTTCAGCCAAAATCTTCTAAGGGTTTTATTTTTCAACTTTTTTATTGCAATTGCACTAACGTACAACCAATGACAATCACACCTTGTATAGTATGAATTATATTTTTATTTTGGTCTTTAGTGTAATTTTATGATGAATTCAGTTCCCCTGTTTAACTCACTTAATATTTCCACATGAGGAACATCCAGTCTCTCCCTAACTCTATAAGTAATCCAAGAAGAATGATTTACACTACATAGAACTAAAGTTACCAATGTGGCTATTTTTTTTTTGGGCAGGGTTCATTCAGAACCTTCCTAGAAAAGAAATCAAGAATAGGCAATTTATATATGTCATCATCATTGTATAAAATGTGTATGTGTCTGTGTGCCCAGCAGAATGACATGTGACTTAGAATTATTTGGTTTACTCAGATCATTTTCATTGATGACTTTAAGAATTGCCAGAAATTTAGAAAAACAAAAGCTATCTTTGTTACCAAAGTCTTGATAATCTCTAATTCTACAGGTACACTGAGGCCATAAGAATCAGAACCATATCCAAGGATTCAGGTTAGTCCCCGTTTTCTGGGGATAAAACTCGATGGGATGTAGAAATGGATACAGACACACAACATATATGTTGTGTATTATTGGCAGGTGTGTCTTGTTAGACTTGCCTTGCTTTTGTTTTTGTTTTCCATAGTAGGTCAACATTACAAAGATGATTTCACCAGAAAACCTGGATTCCCGACTCTCTTTGAAAAATCAGAATCCTTATAACCCAAGGTCTCCATTCCCACAAGGTCTCCATTCCCACACGTGCACCTGAGTAGTGGTATATATGCTCTCAGATCCCCACCATTTCCATCCCTCACTCAAATACAACAGATATTCTTATATACTGCTTGTGTCATTTACTTTGCCTTACTGGTTTTTATGGGCATTCTATTTGTATCCCTTGAACAAAAACATAGAGTGTAGGCTACATGTAGACAGTTGTGACCTTAATGTCCCTGGGTCTTAGTTTTCTCATCTACACAGTGGGGCTCTTTTGATGATTTTCTGTGATGGTTGTGGCCTTCAATTGAGATAATGCATTTTGAAGTGCAACAAGTATAAAAATGTTAATTCTATCAATGTACAAAAAATAGATACAATCAATTAAAAGTTTGAGTTTCCTCTGTTGAGAATAGCATTAGGACTATGGAAAGAATAAATGCAGAAAAGGAAATTGTCCCTGATCTGAAGCAGGAAGTTTATTTTATAGGTAGCTGGTGTCATGGGAAGAGCTGGAATACCGAGTTGAAGTCCTAGAAGCCGTGGGAAAGTTGTCACATCTCCACAAATACCTTTTCATTATCTGTAAATCCCAGAAGACAGAACTTATCTTCCAACTCATATATTTGTCAGGATCAAATGAAATAAAGTATATGAAAATAATGCATGGATTAAAAAATGTTATTCTGATATAGGCAATGATTAGTACATAGTGATAAAATATGTGCACATAGAAAACACTAAGAATATTTACCCAGCCCAGCATTTATATAACTTAAAAATGTGAAGTCCTGGAAGAGTAGTTTTGATGATGTTGTTGTCTTGTTTTTGTGGTACTGAGGATTGAACCCAGGGGCACTCTACCACTGAGTTACATCTTCAATCTCTTTAAAAAAAATTTTTTTTTGAGACGGTGTTTGACTAAGTTACAAGTGCTGGCCTCAAACTTACAATCCACCTGCTTCAGCCTCCACAGTTGCTGAGATTACAGGTATGTGCCACTGCTCCCAGCTAACAGTAGTTTTTAATTTAGTGAGAGGCAGCTTTCTTAGAAGAGGGAAATCTTGACAAAGTCTCATGTTTGGCAAAAATCTGAGGATGGTTCTGTTTTGCTTGTTAAAATAAACTTGTGGGCTGGAGATGTAATTCAGTGGTAGAGTACTTGCTTAGCATGTGTGAGGCCCCCCTGGGTTTGATCATCAACACTGAAAATAAAATAAAATAAACTTGCTATTTGTGTTTTATTTCTGATACACATCTTTGTTGTGAGAGGAACTGGGTATTCCACAAACATTCTTCAGATTATTTACAACAAGATATTGCATTATGTCAAGTTAAACCTAGAAAGACTGCCCAAAATAGCTTGTGATGATTTTGTGACTGGATATCTCAGAAAATCTTTGAGATGATATTTTACAGACAATAGAAAAACAGAAGAATTAAATGATTTGTCCAATTTCTCAGAGGTGTGAAGTTATAGGGCCAGAACCCCAAATTAGTTTTTGACCCTAGTGTTCTTTTTGCTGAACATTGGTGCTGGAACAACTTTTCGCTAGAGGTACTAAATAAAATCATTCAATATTTAGATAATCAGATTGGGTTGGGAATTGTACTTACCTAGGAGGAGGAAAAGAAATATGTTAAAAAGATTGTCACAAATTAGAAAGTACATTAGGGAACAACCCCAACAATTTTGCCTCCTTCCCCCAAGGTGGCAAACGCTGTTAGCCCCTTCCCTACCCTACCCTTTGCCTCATTGTTTTAAATCCGGCTGCTCCTTTACATTCTCAAACCTGTCTCAAACTTTTGCCTGCCTAGCACTCTCAGGACAAAGGCTGGCTTCTTTCCCTCATCAGCACGTGAGAGGAGGACAGCTCCTTCAGGAAAATAAAAACTTTCTAAAGAAAATCACGGATCAGAGCGAGAAAGAAAGCGGCCAAGGGAATTAAGTTTCTACTGGAGGCTAAGAAATCACTCCTCCCCCTCCCGATTCCTCCAACACCGGAGAACTTGAACTTTCTTTCCTCTTTTCTACAGTGCCAAGGGAATGACCATGAGCTCTCGTTATGAAGAGCTTTAGGGCCAGAATAAAGTCCTTTTTGCAGAGTCTGGTGGTGGGCTGCCTCTGGAATGTAATTTCAATCCTCCCTCAGCCTTCAGCTTCCCTCTCCCCTCTCCCCTTTTGACTCTGGAGGGGCAGTGGCAACATCGCGCTCTGGGGCGCGTGGAATTTGGGCTCGCCATCCCGGAGCAGGTGTCGGAGGAGGGCGGCTCCGGGCCGCTGGAGAGTGATGGTGTTGGTCCTCTCTCAATTGGCAGGAGTTCTTGGCCTATGAAGATGAGTCCCTTTGGTGAGCTAGTTGTGTCCTGCTGCTTGGGCAGGGGCTTCGGAGGCCCAAAGGCAGGTAGGCCGAATGCAGGCTTCTTCAGATTCGGGCTGCCTGGCTTCCTCAGCCACGGCCCCAGATGGCCACCGTCTCGCCACTTCCCCCACTCCCCGCCACCGCCACGGTGGTCTTCTCCAGTAGTGACAGCGTGATGAGGGCGCCGTCGCCAGTAGGATTGAAGCTGTGGCTCAGACGGGACACCCAGGGTGGGAAGTGGGGGAGGGAGGCTGTGGGAAGGGGGAGGTCAGCGCTGGGCGGGCGCTCTCGGGATCCAGCGCTGCCCCCTCCAGCAGCACGAGCAGCATAGCAGCATCCACTGCCACCGCCGCAGCTACAGCGGCCACAGCAGCAGGAGCTGGGGGCTCTCAGCGCCGCGCTACCGAGAGCAGAGGGGCGGCGGCGCCCGCCCCAACCGAGCTGAGCCGAGCGCGCAGCCGGCCGCTGCCGCTGCCTCGCAGATGCCATCACAGCAACAAAGAGCTCGCTGAGCGGAGAGCGGCCGCGAGAGCTCGCCTTGAAGCCACCGCATCAGCTCTCGGAGCTGCGCGTCAGCGGGAGGAAGCGGAGAAGGAGTTCTGGGGGAGGGAAGAGGGTAGAAGATGGCCAGGAGGAGAAAAAACCCCAGCATCAAGGGTGAGTCCCTTTCCATCAGCTCCTTCCATCCTGTTTCTCACCTTCGATTCGCCCCTCGGGCCCGCCTGTTTACCAGGCTCGGCGAAGTGGAAGCCTGCCTGCCGGGGAAGAGTTTGCTTTCTTCAGGAGGTGGAGGTGGGGGGACCTCAGCACGGCTTCACAACCCTTTACCTCCGGGGACGCTCTGACCGGAGTTTGTCCCCTTTTTGTAACCTGAGGAAACCTGGAGACTCTTTCTTGTACCCCCACCCCTTTCCTACTTTGTGAGCTTGGGCTTCTATCTGTTGCACCTTCTCCCTTCAGGGCAGTGGTTGAGAGTAGCGACTTGTGGCTCCTAGCACACACACACACACACACACACACACACACACCTCTCTCTCTCTCTCTCTCCTCTGCCCATCTCTCCCCACTCTCCCTCTCCTGTTCCTGTCTCTCCAACATCTCTTCTATTCTTTGTACCCAATGCTTCTCTCCTTTCGCCTCTTCATCCCAAGGGGGACAAGTTCTGATCATTTTCTCAACCTCCATCCGAGGAAATTGGAGCTGTCTGGCTCTCTTTTTCTCTGATGCTCAAAGGGACTTGCTACTGCTAGGTCTTTGAGGGCTACTATCACCTCTCCAAACTGCCCAGGTGGGCAGTGACTCGAGCTGAGTGGTCCCCCTGTCATTCCTTGGGAACCAGGGCTTCCGAAGTTGGAAAGTTCTTGGGGTGGGGTGCGTGGGGGGAATAACAAAGAGGACAAGAAAGATCTTGTTGATAGAGTGACTTGAAGCTTCGCTGCTCGGTCCTGGGAGGGATTTCAGAGGGAGCCTTCTGGGTTGCGTCCTGCCAGCAGGCAGGACTGGGAGGAAGCGGAGGCTCCCCAGGACAAGGAGAGTGCAGCGCGGGGTAAGCAGGTGAGAGGTTGCCTGCGCCCTCCGCGGACTCGCAGAGGTCGTGGCTCACCCGCTCCCTCACTCTCTCTCGCTGTCACTGGGGAACTAGCAGTGCTGGAGAGGTTGTCTGCAGCACTGCGGAGAGGTGGAAGTCGACTTGACACCGCGCACCACGCGCGGTGAGGAAGGCTGTACAATAGGGAACCGAATCTGAGGGTGGGGGCAAGGAGGAAGGGGCGGTGTTAGATTTGGGGTTTCAACTCAATGGATCTGATGGCGTGGAAGGCGGAGACTTGTTACACCTTGGGGTTATATAAAATAGGACCATGACTCTGAGATGAGAGCTGGGACTGTTGGATATATTGGCTTGGTCTACTGCGATGTGCTGTGCTTTGGCGTGCTCCTGCTTTTTCTTCCCAGGTCTTGCTTATGGAAGCTCAGCTCCACTCTAGAGGTCACTAGGGGGACACAACTTTATCTTGTTACTTCAGCTTGTATTTTAATTGTTCCTGACTACTCGAATTATTCATTGGAAAGGGTTAAGAACCATGATCCTTAATTCTTTAGACGACATTACTACAAAATACCCGAGATTTTCCCTTTAAACTAGAACCTACCTATAACAATTTTATTGCAAGATATTATCTTAAAATATTATATTAAACTTCCGTGCTTTTCATCATTAATTAGTATATGTCCATAGAGGTAGACAAGTAAAGAATGAGGGAATTTATTCATCAGCAAACACTTTGGTCTCCTTACCAAAATATCAAAGAACTTGTCTAAACCCTTACTGACTGTGCACTAGCTACAGTTTCGGTTTGCTCCTTTTTTTTTTTTTTTTTTTTTTTGTGGAACCATATGGCACCATGAGTGAAACAGAAGGATTGGTTTTTAGCACTGCTGATGTGACTATCCATTGGCAGGAAGATATTTCATACCCACCCCAAATCTTGCAGATTGTAAATGGTCCATGAAGAGTCCAAAAAATTTACAGATTTACAGTACATGGTGGCTGGTGACAATACTACACTTGAAATGGATAATCTTGGCAGAAGCACCAAAAGATACAAATGAGCTGGGGTTGTGGCTCAGTGGTAGAGATTTGCCTAGCATGTGTGAGGCAATAAGTTCAGTCCTTAGTACCACATAAAAAATAATAAATAATAATAACAAACAAATAAAACAAAGTTATTTAAAAAGAATTTCTAAAAAAAAACTTAAAAAAGATAAAAATGAAACAAAATCAATGGGAAGTGAGCTAATATAAGAAGAGATTTGGTGAAAAGACAACTTTTTCCTCCTCCTGCCCCTCAAAACACAAGAAATTTTTGTTTTATATATCAAGATGGAATTGTATATATTTTCTTAAATAAATTAAATTGTTAGTGAAATAGCTGAAGAATAGTAGTTAACAGAGCTTTGTCATTTAACAGTTCATCCAGAAGAGTTAATAACCAAACTTTCCTAGTATATGTGGTCTTAAAAAGTTTCATTGTAATTCTTTAAAAATAAGGTTCTCTCATGCTACACGTTTTTCTTAAAGGAAAAATTACATTGTTTAGGTCCTACTGACTTTTGTTTCTCTCTTCTTTCTATCTCTGTCTGTCTCTGTCTCTATTTCTTTCTCTCTCTCTCCCACCCATTGTTTTTTTTAACCAGTTAATTTAATATTGTTAGAACAAAAAGATACTTTTAAAATCCTTGTAGTTTCATTTTAGCAGAATTGATTATTTTATATATAACAAAGCAAACCTAAGAAAATGTAATCCATTGACTTGCCTGAATTTTGCCTTTTAAGAGAACTGTACATTAGCCCCCAACTACAGCCTTACTGAACTGTTCTCAGACATCTCTTCTAAGCTGCAAGCAACTACACTGGGTCTGCATGATAGAAAACAAGATTTCTGGGATTTTTTTTTTTGGTGGGGGGGAGGGTAGGCTGCTGGTGTGAACTTTACTGGATAATAAAATATAAACTATAGATTTAGCAGTATTCCATGTTGTGTTGGTTATCCTCCTCCCAGTGCTGCTTCTCTTGAGTTACACTGCATACTAGGAGAGATCATTCAGTGGATCTTATGGCAGGCAAGTTGCTCTTTGGCTTCTGAAGTCCTAGCAATAGACACTATATATTTATAACAGCTAGAAATTGGACAAAGAGAAATGTAGTTTCTCAAGGTTGACTGAAAAATAAGATCCTTCTGCAGAATTTCTCAAGGAACACTAGCATTCACTGGCATCTGATGAAAAGGACAGCTTTTGAAAAAGACAAATGGAATCTCTATTATTAATTCAGTATTTATAATTTTCAAATAAAAATTTTATAATCCATGATCAATAAATGTTAGCCATCCTGTTAGGGTGATATTTATACCATCCCCTCACCCTTTCCCAATGTTAGTACAACATTACTTAAGTTTAAGGGTTAAATGCTTGCAGTCATCTATTCATTTTTTTCATTCAGTGTATATTTATTGAGCATGAAATATGTACCAAGTTCTGTGCAAAGCACTAGGGATTCAGTGATGACTATGATAAATCATAGGGTCTAAAAGGGGGTGTGGGAGGGGGAGGTAAACAAATACATGAAGCAGAAATTTTTCACATGGTGATTAATACCATGAAGAAATAAAACATGGTGTTGCATTAGAAAAAAAGAGATTGTGAGGTTACTTTAGATTGTCTGAGGAGATGACATTTGCATTGGGAAACACAATGAATAGTAATTTGCATGTCAAGAACTAGAAGGTAGCACTGCTGGCCTTCAGACAGGAATGAGGTTGCAAAAAGGCAGGTTCAAGGATAGAATGGAGGTCAGTTTGCCTGGATTGCCTTGGTGAGAGATGGAGACAGGTAGAGAGAGGCTAGATATTTTTTGGCCATAAAAAGGAATATAGATTTTAGGTGAAGTGGAAAGCCACTGGATACTCCATGTTTGGGGCTCCATTCCTATACTCAAGGATGATTTCAGGGAGGATGGGTTCCTACATCAACTAAGGCCCTAGGCAGAGTAAGGTGACCCAGTAGACTTCACTTTTTTAAAAGGTCCAATTGTACTCATGTATCCCTTCTTACTATTCACCAGAAATAACTGCAATGTTCTGGGGGATTGAGACATTAACAGCATCTCCAGGAATGTCTGCTTAAAAAACAATTCTGGAGAGAATGAGGACCGATTCAGCATTTTAGTAGAGACTGTCAGATTAGTCACCCCTGTCCAGCAATCAACTCAAAGCAAGGCAGGAATGACAAAGGGTCTGGAATACAACTTCCAGTAAGGCAGATGCGGAAGACAACATGGGAAGCTCCTAGGTAATGGAAAGAGGTCCATGAATGGAGAAGAAAAGTGATGCTGGGAAAGGGGACATAGGAAAGCCTCAAGACAACATCAGCCAATTCATGATTTTGCCAAAAGAAGTGGGAGCCTGATGTGACAGTGTTCCAAGAGAATCAATCCAATTCAAGCACAAAAGAGGTTCAAATCAGGGTTTGCCTTAAACTGATCTTTTAATCGAGAAGAATTCATAATAATAAAAGCATCCAGGCTTAAAAGATCTCAGAATTTTACTTAATCATTATTATGTTGTTCTTACAGATTACAGACCTCACAAATGAAAATAGCCTGAAAATATTAACAAGCTGCCATTCATTAGAGGAAGCTATTTGATAGCTAGTTAGCAGGAAAATTATGCTCTTGGCTCTCAGATTTTACTGTGAAAATATTGGCAAGGGAGAAATGGGTTTTGTTGGCTGATTTTCTTCACCCTAAATTTCTGTGACTAGAAGATGCCATGATATTTAGAGACGATATAAATTATAATTGATTGTTTTAAAGCTCTCCCCTGTCTACTTCTACCTCCAAACTGTCTGTTTCTTTGCCAAGGATTGATAATGAAAAAATAGTTATTCTAAGAATTCCTGTAGAGCTTTGTTTACTCTCCTCCCTCTTTTTCTTTGTACTTCAAGCGGTTCTTTGGAGTCTGGTAGTACTTCAGGGTTTATATAACTAAGAATAGAGTCTGGTCCTTAGTGACACTGTAATAGAATGTGTTTATGACATCAGCTTTTCTTTAAAGTAGTGAGAGTTATAGCTTGTTGGCGTTAGAAGGAAGGCTCAGTAT